TTTAGATTTCCAGTGGAAATAAACAGAGGCCAACTAATGTTATTTGTATGCAGCAAAGAGCATTTTGTATAGTGTTCTGCTATATCTACATAAAGAAAATACCTCCTTGTTGGTTAAGTGGATACAGAGTCCAACAGTGCTCATGCCATCAATGATATAACCAGGTTGAATATTTTTTAGAGCACATCTCTCCATTAACATTTTCTGTGTCATTGTCACATCAACTCTAAACTTCTGCCAGTGTTATTGGAAGAAATAAAGTGAGCATAACAGACAAACCAGCAGAAGAGACAAACAGACTCTGCACGCGTGATCTCCCAAGTCAGAGGGCTCCTCCCCTTCCAGACTCTGACTGTACTTCCCTTTGCAGTAAATGAAACTTCGAGAACAAATTATATCTTTATTGCAGTGACATACCTAAGTGCCATTTTAGCCAGTGAACAAAGAAACCAAAGGTAGCCTTTTGTGACACTCTTGAAACAGTCCTCCTGGAGATCAGGACTGCTTCTTGTTCCAGCTGTTTCCATCAAGAAGCCAGTGAAGGAAACACACTTATCACCACAGGAGGTGACTTAAGGAGCTTTACACACATATGTGAAATCCTAGCTATCTTCTCCCTGGCTTTCCAAAGTGCTAAGAGATACAAATGCATTATCTTAGGAAGTGATTTAAAGATGAAAACATTTTTTTTTAAAAAATGGGCTTTTGGTCATTGGGTTTTGTGGAAAAGTATCTTGAGATATTCCTACAGGAGGGACTGTATTCTGGTGACAAATGTAATCACAGAGTTACTTTCATCAAATGCAGTATCAAAAATGTGGGATTGGCTTTAACTACACCATCGACACACCATCAGCAAGAGGGGTGGGGAAATAACTTAATTTGTGGTAGACATGAGAAGAGTATTAGCCAAGCATAGAGAAAAAAATATATGTCCAGGAGAAAGGGGGGAGGAGGAAACTCCTATTATGTCTTTGTCAAGTAAACAGACTTAAGTAGGGCTATTTTATGCAAATGTAATGTAAGCTACTTGATGAGGTCATTAAAATTGTTGCTAAAGCACATTAAAACAAATTGAAAGCTATTAGGCAAAGTTGACCAATTTTCACCTAAATCAGTTTAATCTAAAATGTTATCATTTTACTATACAAACTAAAATTAGGAGCAAATTTGGGTTTTGTATATGGGGTGCCATGTATTTAAAATCTAGGGTGTTTTACAAACTGAGGACCTTCCTCATTTCAAGTACTCCAGAGCCACACATGGTTCTATAATCTCTGTAATTTATTATTATTATTACTGTACAGGCATCATGTATACATATGGGTATGTGGGCTACAGTATTTGTGTGGAGCTCAGAGGACAACTTCGTGGAGTTGGTTCTTTCCTCTGTATTTCCTGGGTTTCATTGAGAGACCTCAGGTCTCCAGGCCTTCATGACAAGTGTCTTTACCCATGGGGCCATCTTAGCAGACCTTGAATGACCTCTATGTGTTTGTTCACCTACCTGCTAACTACCATTGTTCCTTACCTAGAAGCTACATAAAAACTATCTAGATTTCTTCCTTTTCCTCCTTTGTATAACCAACTACTCAACAAACAGCAGAGTGCAGATGAATAAATGAATGGAGGAATTCTTAACACCGAAAGCAAATGTAAATAGTGTCTTGATTCAAAAACCAGTAGAAAATGACAATCTCAGAGTTCTTTAGAGGAAAAAGGAATGCCCAGGATGGGAGTGACACCAGCCTGCTCCAGCTTCATCTGCTGATACCAAGTATCACTTTTCTGAAACTTACCTTCTGGGCTTGGTAAGAGTCAGGAAAACGACTGTCTACAAGTAGTTTGTTGTTGCTACAAGTTAATATGTGCCACAAGTAAAGTATCTATTCACCTCCCTTAAAACCATCCATCACATGTGGTCATCCCTGTCCTTGAGACTAATCCTAATCCAGTTGGCACCATGCAATTTTCTGATACCTGGAATGTTGGAAACACTGGGTAATGGAATAAGAATGGATGACAAAGTCAGACAGATCTGGGCTTCTACCCCAAACAATGAGGGCTGAGAATATTAGGTAAATGCTTCTATCCCTCATTTTCCTTATCTGTAAAACTTTGCATGATAACTCATACATTCAGCATTTCTGTGACAATTAGTTGAGGAACTGTATGCACTACACTGCACTGTAAAAGTTCAGTGAAAGGTATCAATATTATCATCTTTGCATTCAAGTACTATAAGAACACGCTGGTCACCAATCTTTCCTATTCTGTGTGTATGCAATTTCCTTCTCCTTAGGGTTTGATATTGTTCTTGTACTTGATCCTGAGAGGTCGGGGAGGTGAGGGAGACTCCAAGTTGAGTTGAAATCTTAATTTGTACAAAGCAATGAAAGATAGCACTGAAGACATTTACCTCTACAGAGATAATTTGTAGTGTTTGGAGATAGATCTGGGGATATTTCTGGTTTCATACTCCACTGGTTGCAGCTACAGGCACAGATAGCTATTTTGTATTTAAAATTATAGGCCAGAAAGGAACAGAAAGTCTGAGAATCCAGGCCAATCTGGATGTATTTTATTTGTTGCCAATACACAGAGCTCTGCGTGACATAGCACAGTTGAGACAGTAAACTTGACCCTGAATTCTGAACCTCTCTCATCTTAGAGACTAATGAGCTGGTTTCACTCACTGTTCTGGTGGCACAAGCCTCACAGGAGAGACAGCAAGCCGCCCTAAAATGCATAGACTAGTGAGCACTTGCAATGTCACATTAAAATGAAAGAGAACAGTTGATCACTGAACATGGGTCACGAATGACAGAAATAGTATCTCCATCTCCTCAACAACCACACAAGAAAAGCAGATCATTCCCCATCTTGCCACTGGGAAGAATGGGGCTCACAGAGATCCAGTGACTTGCTGAAGTGCAGTCACAATTTGAAGTGCAGGCTCCCATGGAAGCTCTCAGGCTCCAGTGTCGCGTGCTTTCTGCTACATGGCCCTGTGCTGCTGGTGGAAGATTCGTTTCTACAGAGTGTGAGACCCTCTAGACGCTTAAAGACAAAGTACATATGACCAACGGAATATTACCACTGAGCCACACTGTTTGTTTCCAAGGGAAGCCTTGGCCCTGCTCTCTGTCAGCCAGCCAGTTGGCCTAAAGGACATTGGTTCATGTGGACCCGCTGTAGGCTGCTTTCCAGGGCTATTTGTGGATGGAGATCTCTAGGGCAGTGGTTCTCATCCTGTGGGTCAAACAACCCTTCCACGGGGGCCACATATCAGATATCCTGCATATCAGATATTTACATGACAGTTGATAACTAGCAAAATTACAGTTACGAAGCAGCGACAAAAATTATTTTATGTTTGGAGGGTCACCATGACACGAGGAACTGTATTAAAGGGTTAGGAAGGTTGAGAAGCAGTGCTCTAGGTAGTGGCACACATCTTTAATTCCAGCACTCAGGAGGCAGAGGCACATGGATCTCTATGAGTTCAAGGCTACTCTGTCTTGAAAACAACCAAAAAAAAAAAAAGAGTTGAGAGGAGCATCCCCCTGGAAGCAGTGAGGAAGCCACTGAGGATACACACTGTCTAAGCACCCTAGCAAGGAGGACTCTCTCCCAGCAGCGCCTCAGACTCTGCCAATGCTACCAATTACTCCCATAGCCAGCACAGCCACCAGCAAAAGCTTGGCTGGATGGGTACTGATGCAGCATCCTTAAAGACAAGGGATTTTCAGGCATGGTCAACACGGAGTGTTTCTGTAAAATTCCTCATCTGTTCCTGAAGCATAGTTTCCACCCTGGGGAAATGACTCAACCAATTCTCAAAAGGACCCCTACTTTGAAAAAGCCACTGAAGTTAACTCCCCTAAAAAAACACCAAACTTAAAATGTTCCTGTTTCCTGCACTGTTCTGCACCTCTATTCCATTAAGAACTTACACAAAGAATTACCAATTTCCCTAAATTTTGCAGAGTAAACTGAAGCCAGGAGAAGGCAAACACCCAAGGTTATAGTCTAATGGAGACAGAGAAACGATTGGTCAAGACACTCAGGTGGGAAATCTTTTCCAGCCAATTCCATGAATGAAGATTAAAGGATGCTCCCCCTCCCAAGAGATTAATAACAGGTCGCAAACATTTTCAAGCTCTACCACAGAAAACCCCAAGTTGCTGGTTATTAGGGAAGCACGGGTTGCTTCCCTGCCACACAGGTAGAGGTCACTAACAGGATATTTTTCTCCTCAAAAGCCACAAATGCATGCCTTACCTTCCCCTACCTCAGCAGACCCGGTCTGGGTTCCTGGAGTCTAGCCCCTTCTGTGCTCCCTGGTTCTCAGCTCCAGCGGCTTGTTATAGCTTCTCCCCCAGGGCTTGAATTCCTAGCGCCTGGCCAGCAGGTTAAGACTGGGGAACCTTCCCTGCCACTACTCAGCTGCCCTTGGGGGATAGTATGTATGCGCCCCGGGAGTGTGTGGGTGGGAGGGGGCGCAGGTAACTCAGTGTACCCACCCGGCACCTACCTGTGCTGACCACGGGAGGCTGCCCAAGTTAGCTGCCATCGCGTCCCCTGTCTGATCCCTTTCCACTTCCCTGCTCTCTCCCTACCTTTTCATTTTGACATAAACCACCTGCAAACACAGAATTCCACAATCATGCTACACTCGTTCTCAAGGGCGCGCTTGAAGATATATTTTAAAATATGCGAGCGCAGTCGAAAAACCTGGGGTGCGTGGCCGAGCACCTTGGCATGTATTTAGCTTCTCTGAAAAGGGACATTGAGGCTTGGCTCTAAGCATGGTCACAGCACGGGATGGGATTTCCTCTCGCCCTCGGGCTCTGGCTGCTGCCTGGCATTTCCCCAAGTCGTCCGCACCTGCAGCCAACTGCTCTGCTCCCACACGCGGCCTCGAACCCGCGGCCCTACAGAGCGCCCGCCCGCGCCGCCCCTGGCCGCGCGCAGCCGTGTCTGCCCCGGGTACTCACTTTTGCTGGGGAGAAAAGTCTGCCATACCAGGCGGTGAGTACTTCCTGCAGAGGACGCGAGCTTTCTCACTGCAGGTAAAGCTGTTTCCTGAGCCCTGGGTAAAATCCAGAACGCAGGAGAAGAGCGAGTAGACAGAACAGGAAGGCGGGGAAAGCCCAGCCCAGAAGACCCGGCGTCTGGGGATTTTAGCCTCTGCTCAGCAGTCGCCAGCCGCGTGTCTCTGTGAAGAAGCTCAACTCGGTGCACTTGTTCACTCTTTCTTCACTAGAGGAGGAGTCAGTGTTGCAACATGCATGCTTCTTGCTGGAGGCAAAACAGTGATTTTCTCCAGCATGCAAAAGGTCCAGAGCCTGCCAATTTTACAAGGTGACGGAGGTAGAGGGGGAGTCGGAATGCAGAGATTATGTGGACAAGAAAATTTCTGATTTCCCCAGGATCCGTTTTGCATGATCAAGGGACCCTCTTCCAACAAGACTCGACAAAACAATAATAAAAAATGCCCTTTAAGTCGAGTGACCTCAGAGAAGATATTTCAGTAGCCAAGATGAGGCTTGGTGTCAAATTTCTTTCCTTATTTCCCAGCAAGCAACACTGAAGCACAGCTTGACAATACTTGAGGGGGCTCCGGGGATTTGAGTCACACCTTCCCTGAGAAGGGGAGGAGTCGGAGGAGAGTGGTCAACAGAGAATATGCAGTGACCCGAAGAGGCTTTGCTTTCTTTTTCGACACAGAAAAACTTCCAGGGCTCCGCTTTGTGCCCAGCCACGTCACAATAGTACAGAAACACCCTCAGCCTCTCAGCAACTCACGATTAATGCAAGAATGTACCTCCTCAAATAGGCTGCGCGAGCTCAATGTTATTTTACTGCTTTTGATATTAACCAAATCATTGCTTTTTTTCTTGTACCCCTCCCCATAGTCTCCTGAAAAAAATATTAAAAAAGAACAGCAACAGCCTACTTGAGTTAAATAATTATCTTGGAACAGGTGAGTAGGCAGTGTTTGATGGCACTGATTAATATTGTGTCCTATTGTGATGTAACTCAGAAGGTCACTGTGGGTTATTTTGAACAAACTATTGAGGTTTTTTTTTTTTGTTAATCATAGAAACACATCCTTTCTTCCTTGAATTAATTGACACTTTGCATCACATTCAGCAGTGGTTTTCTGCCACGGTTCAGGAAACCAATGAAAGTCCCATGATGTTTGGGCTATCCTCTTGCATTAGAAGAGGCACCTGTATGAGCTCCATGTTTGCTACCCAATAACTCCGCCTGTACAAGTTAAATCATGGTCTCCATCTGGTTTTCAGAATAAGTGGGGTGTGCGTCTGCCATGCACACACTGTACAGACTTCTGGTGACTGAGGTGCACTTTTGCTCACAAGTACGAGAGTATATAATACCTGTCGATTTTCAAAACTAATGGGTATTATCTCCAGTGGCAGAAGACGGACAGGATTACTGGCAAAGTTATGTCCTCATGAACTCTTTGTTGTTGAAGATATTTTAAGTAAAAAAGAAACAGAATTGAATAAGGACACCGAATAGTCTAACCTGGTCTTGTCTTTCACATACACTCAGAACATGTATATTTGCCTGATTTTGGGCAAAGTCATCTAATACAAAGCTTAACTCAACAGGATGCTAGAACACTAAAATGTCAAAAACATCTTGAACCACCGTAAATTGATGATTATATTTCTGTATGACGTTTGAAAAGTCAAGGGGATTACTCGGTGAACTGTATTCTTCCTGATCATTTTATTCTAACAGATAACGAAGAGAATCACTTTTGGTAACTCCAAACTGTGAGCATTCCTTGTGGTTGCACACATCTGTGCTCCTGCTCCATGGAGAAGGTTAAATGACTAATCCGCATACTATTTGAAGAGAAGGCCAGGGCCCTCTGCTACGCTGTGCAGCATATGCACTGTCCCCAAGCCACGAGCATTTGCAGTCGGTGAGTTTCCTTATACTCTCTCTTGTGTTAACAAGAGGATTAAGGAAGTCATGTGTAAGCCTCAATCGCCTCTCTACAGCTCTCCTGTGACTCTTTCTTTCTCTCTACACTGACAAGATTCACTATTTTCTGGTGTTCTCCTTTTTGCTTGGATCTGTATCTGCCTCAGTGTATGGATGCCTATTTGTTTATTTATTTACACATGTTTATTGTGATACATCCCGTTTTAGTGTGGCTTGGACTCTGTATCTGCTTGCTGCCTCCAACACTTTGCTCCACAGTTCAAGGCAAGGAGAGAACACAGGAACTGACAATGGTTTGGATATTGCTATTTGTTTGACTCCTGTGAACTTCACCTATTATAAGTCAGGCTCAGTAGCACATGACTCAAAAACCCAATAAAGGGAAAGTAATGTCAATAGAATGAGTAAAATGACAGCAATGGTAATAAAAGCCCTGTGGTAGTAAGTTTTGGGGTTTTTGTCTTGTTTATACCTACTTCTTTCCTAATCATTTTCCTTACATATTTTTTCCCTTATCTCATTGGTTCCCTCCCACAGCTTCCTCATGTCTTTCCTGGCCCAGCTATACTTTGGATGAGCTTACAATATAATTCACCCCTTACTGAGCAGTGGTGGTGCATGCCTTTAATCCCAGCATTTGGGAGGCAGAGGCAGGCAGGTCTCTGTGAGTTCAAGGTTATCCTGGTCTACAAAGTGCTTCTGTGGCTTGCTCAACCAGCTTTATTATGGAACCCAGCACAACCAGCCCAAGGATAGTACCACCTACCGTGGGCTGGGCCCTCCCCCACTGATCACTAAGTGAGAAAATGCCCTACAGCTGGATCTCATGGAGGAGGAATTTCCTCAACTGAGACTCCTTCCTCTCTAGCTTGTGTCAAGTTGACACACAAAACAGCCAGTACAAGCGTCCACATGTCAGTGGCTGAGTGCCCCTTGAAAAGCTTCTAATATAAGAGGTTGAGGGTGAGTTTTCTATTCCTACCAAAAGCATCAATTGTACTGTTTAATTCACTACTTTCTTCTTTGTCTTCTGCTGTGGCTACCCTTCAGCTGCTCCAGGGCCAGGGTTATCTTCGCCTTTTCCCAGCTCTGTTTCCTACACCCCTTCTCCGTGAGCTCTCCTCTGTTACCTTTCAGGGAGCTGCTTTGCTGTCTCTCTGCTGTCCCCGTGTTGGCTTCTGTGCAGCACCTCTTCGTTCTCATCTTCCTGAAATGGTGACACTTTGGTCTCCAGCCTTTCATCTCTCCCCTTTCAAGATCACTTTCCTTTCTTTAACACAATAGAAAATGCTAGAACTATCACAAGAGGAAAAAGAAAAACCTCGCACAACCCTGGTACTGCTAACAAAACGAAACAAAATTACATCTATATTTGTAAAGTTTAAAAAAAAGGATGCTTATAAAAAAGGATCCTTCCAAATACCCTCTTTGTTTTCCCTAGTCCCATCTCCAAAGGAACCCATCACTGACACATGAATACATATCTGTTATTTATTTATCTAATATAGGTACTTGCATATATTTTTGAACTAAAATGAATTTATTTTCATGGTTTGTCTTTTTTGATTTAACAATATGAGAGAAAAAATTATTTCTGTCCCCTCTTTGGCAATGTCCCCCGAGTCTCAGGTAAGGCAGTTGTTTTGTAGATGTGTTCATTTGAACTGGACTCCTCAACTCTGCATTTTGGTTGGTGTTGGTTTACTGTAATGGCCTCTGTCTATTGCAAAGAGAAGTTTCCTTCACAAGGACAAGGGCACTAGCAGAAAGCCCATGGGGCCTCAGTACTACACAAAGTACTAAGGGAGTTTGTCTTCTAGTAATGTCAGAAGCTACACCCATAATGTCTCACTCACATGACTGCCCAAACATGAGCTGAACAAAAGCAACAATAGACATGCTGACAAAGACAGGGTTGGATGGGGAACCCCAGAAGTGCGGCAGACAGTGGAAGAATGCTGAGAGTGGGCAAAGTAGTCTTCCCCAGGAGAGAACACACCAACTGGTTATCCGACACCATATGGTCAGCCCCGAAAACCCATATGTGTAACACTGTAAAGACTGAGTAGGTTGTATTTATGTGTGTGTGTGTGTGCACGCACGCACATGCGTGTGTGCGTGTAACAACAATCAATGGAAAAGAGGCCATGAACATGACAGAGAGCAAAGAGGGTTGTATGTGAGGGTTTGTAGGAAGAATGGGAAAGGAGAAAAGAATTAATTATATTGTAATCTGAAAAATAAAAAGTAATTAATGAAACCCACAGTCTCTGGGATTAAACTAAGGGCACACACATGCTAGGCAAGCACTCTACCATTGAGTTGCACCTCCAGCCCCATAGCTTATCTTTCTAAGCTCGATGCAATTATCTAGTTGAGGCTGCTCTCCAGAGGCTTACTCCAGTGTTTTCTTTTTGAAGTTAACTTGCAAGCCTCTAAACTTTCTTTCTTTTCATTTTATGTATAGGAGTATTTTGCCTACATGTGTAAATGTGTACCATGTGTGTGCCTGGTACCAGAGGAGGCCAGGAGAGGGTGTTGGGTCCTCTGGAACTGGAGTTACAGATAGCTGTGAGAGCTGTGATGTGGATTCTGTGGACAGAACCCAGGTCCTCTCCAAGATCAACATGTGCTCTTAGGCACTGAGTCATCTCTCCAGCCCTCACTTTATTGATTTTAGTGACTGTCTAGTCTTTAATTTATTTCCTCCATTCTCCTCTTGTTATATTTTTGGTGATTAAAAATTTTTTTACTGTCAAAATGCTGCTATGATTATCTTTGAATAGGGCAGACATTTAGAAATGTCAGAATTCGGACAAAGGAAATGGCTATTAAAATCAGAAAGGCTACTGAATTTCTCTTACATAATGTTACAAACAAATGTTTTAAGTAAGCATGAAATTACTGAGTCATAGAGTCAGGCCACTTAAAAATACAACTTGCTTGTTAATTCTTTAATTTCATGCATATGCACAATGTATTTTGATCATATTCACCACCCTCTGTTCCCCCTGGATCCACTCCCACCTCACAAATTTGTGTGTTTCTGTTTTGGTTCTTCAATAACCCACCAAGTCCAGTTCGTGCTGTATATAGTTATGGGTATGGAACCACCCAATGGATCATGGTCCCTCCTTGAAGAAAAGAAGTCAGGGCTTTTTACACTGTCGAATATACTTTCAAATTCCATCACCAAATGTTGATTCATCTGTTCCTATCAAGCTTCCTTCCTCACTCTCTGAGCATGGGGCCTCATTGATGTAATGTGTCAGATCAAATCTGATAAGCAAGATAGCCTGTTCTATTTTGCAGGGTCTTGATGAGCTGAGCCTCTTATGACAGGAGACCTTCTCACTATGGCTGTCAAATCTTATGCTTAGCTTCCTTTCAGGGTGTTTTTCTTTTAAAAATCCATTTCAGTGTCTGCTGTTAAGTATATTAACACTTTGCCAACTATACTGCAAACTTTTTTTGTCTGTTGCATTTTCCTTGATTTTTATTGCAGACTGATTTTGCAAAAAACAAAAAGCGAAAAGTTCATTTTCACATCGTTGAACTCATGCATCTGAAAAAGCCTCTGGGTTCTCTGTCTTGCATCTTTACATGGAGCTGATAATAATGTTTATTTTTCTTTCCAAAATAAATCTTTAATTGCCCAGGGAT